CACATCACCTATCTCAGGAGGCCCTCCCACCAGTAAGTGCAGCTGCCAAGCAGTCACTACACTGGCTCACTGGTAAAACTGGAAGACAAAATATTGTGGTCAAGTCACTGCTCTTAGACACCGAAAAGGCAGTGAACTCCGGAGTCAGCCCTGGATCCATTCTGAGCCGCAGGACTGAGAAGTGTCCTCTTCTGTCCCAGCTCCACCTTCTCACCTCTACTACACTATTTCTGACATCGGGAATAGATGGCCCGATCTCTAATATTGTGCCGTTGATGCCAGAATTGCACTTTCTCTGGGACCTAGATATGGAACTAGCCAAGAGACTGCAACACAGATGCAGTGCCACCAATATAACCTCCCCCACCCCATTGATTCTGCCATTACCAACACTACAAAGTTGGCAATCACAGCTCTCTCCCTTTATTCCAGCCTCAAAAACCCAACTGGCACTTCGAGGCACCTGCCCTTTAAGTGCTATTGTTGAAGAAAAATAGTCTGTTGGCCAAACTGGAATTTCTCCATTAAAGTCCATGTATCCTTGGATGTATCCTTGGATGTGCAGCTGAAAGGTGCAAGAGATCCAAGGATGGAAGAGAGACACTTGATGTGGACCAGCCTCCTGGACTGAGCAAGCATCCCTTCCAATTAGGCCACCATTCCCAGCTTCAGGACCGGGGCACTCGCCCCCCCCCCCCGAAAGACTGCAAGTCCCATCCTCTCATGAAGAACACATCCAACGACATTACCGGTCAGCAGGAGCAGCAGGATCTCCACAGTCGTGGGCTTCATCTTGGGCTCTGTGGAAGGAGAGGGCTGTTCATCAGAAGGAAATGATAAGGGCAAAAACTTCTGGTCCTTGCATGCCCATTTGGCTATGGGACATGTGGGGAGCATTTAAGAAGGATATGGTTGAGCTGCCCCTAGGAACATCTCTCAGCTCCACGGAGGCCTGTAGTACGGTGGGGCATTTGGGGGCCACACCCTTTTCATTAAATAGCCATGCCAGAAAACTTAATTTGTGTGTTTCCCAAAGGCTCATGGGAATGCTTCTGAAAGACTCACCATGACCTAGGGGGTATACAGCAGGTCTGGGCTAGCAGAAAGGGGGATGATTGAAGAAGTGCTGAAGGTACCACCCTTGAATGCCCTTCTAAGCTTCCTTGCCCTGTGAAGGGGAACTCAAAATGTATTTAAACGCCTTCTGAAGGCAGTTAAATGCCCTCTGAGCAGTTTTTCCCCCTAAGAATTGATGCACTATCTGCCCTGTCCCTTGAATAGAAGGGACAGAAAAAGGCTCAGTGCCTTCCCCTTTAAAGACAGGCATTCAGATTAATTTAATTAAGTGTAATTTAACTGCCCCCTTAAAAATTTAAATGCCCCCTGTGAGGCTGCAGGGAATACCCATCTGGAAACAGATGCCTCCATCACAGGAGGTTGTTCAGCTTGCAACCTCGCAATGCTGGGGATTGGACCCAGCGCCCCAAGGCAACCATTTTGCGGTTGTACCTCACAGCAGTCATTTGGTAGCGTCACAAACTCTTGGTTCTCAAAATTCCAAAGATCCTACAGTCAGGGCTGCCAGACCCCTGATAGGGCAGGGGATCCTCCGCCTCTTCTTCCTGCTGCCAATCAGATGGCTGGGTGGGAGGACAAGGGTTGCCAGCTCTGGGTTGGGAAATACCTGAAGATTTTCAGGGTGGAGCCCAGGGAGGGTGGGGTTTCGGGAGAGGAGGGACCTCAGTTGTGTATAAACACCATAGAGTCCACCCTGCAAAGCAGCCATTTTCTCCAGGGGAACTGGTCTTGGTGGTCTGGAGAGCAACTGTAATAGCAGATCTCCAGGTGCTACCTGGAGGTTGGCAACCCTAGGGGGGTCTCACCAGTAACGGGGGAGGCCTAGGTCAGCGATGCCACTTCTGGCGTGCACTGGACGTGACATAATCACAGCGCCAGCAACATGGGATACTCAAACTCTGGTATCTGGCAAGAAATCTTTGGTAAAAAAGGCATCTGTCATAGAGTTTTTGCAAAAATACCAGAGTTTAAAAAAAAGGCATCTATCATAGAGTTTTTGCAAAAATACCAGAGTGTCCCATGTTGCTGGCAACAACCCCACTTCTGGTGTGTACCGAAGTGATGTCACCACGTCAGTGTCACTGCAGCGTAGGCCTAAGCCTCCCACCACATCAATGTCACTGCAGCGTAGGCCTAAGCCTCCCTCTGCTTCTGGTGAGTCCCCCTGCAGGTTGCCCGGCGGGATCTGGCAACCCTACTATAGGCTCAAGCAAGGCTCCTCCCCCCAGCCCTAAAGGGTGCACTGCTTGACCCAGCTTCCACTAAGT